AATAAAAATTGATGTTTATTTTAATACTATTAACATGTAAAATGATTTTAATTAATTAATTAATTAATTTAAAGTCAACTTTTATAATTTTTTATAGCAATTAATTAAAACAGTAATGCATATTAATCTCAACTTCTAAAAAATTAGAGTTTCAATTTATATTTAGAAATTAAAAATTTAATTTAAAATTTAAAAATAGGTTTAGAAATGTGTTAGTAACATTTTGACCCCAACCATGCTCGAACACGCGTTTCCATGGTGATGAGCGAAGTGACAAACCAGTCCAGCCACCACACTTGTCTTGTTAAATTAGTACATCATATTATATTTATTCATATGGGGTTAAACCGACAGTTTGAATGATTAAATTGATTAAACCGATCAAACCAAAAGTCAAAACGTTTTGACCTTCGAATCGATTTTCAAAACATTGCCTGGAAGAGTACAATCTTCTTTTGCTTTGCACACCACCTATTCAATAAATTGCCTCATTAGGGTTATGATGTTTTGACATAGTACTTCAAACAGAGGGAGAGAAATAGGGATAATGACATGGGTGATTAAGATTGTTTACTAACTGTTTATAAAAATGTCTCAACAGGAAAAACTAACATCAATTCAATTTCAAATTCATAGTAATTTAATTTATCTAAATTGTATATTTTAATAAGTACTTAAAATACACATATTTAAAATATATGTATTTTATATACACTAATCAAATTCAAATTTAAGTTCTCAAACAAACCTAAAAGTTGTAATTTTATGTGGGCAAGATGTTTGATCTTTTGCCTCTATAAATTTCTAGTAGGATGTGAAAATATTTTTCCATTGCAGTTCCTAATATGGTGGATGACCATTATTTGTGCTATTAACAGGACATAACGGTATGAATGCTTTGTTTTGGTAGTAGTTTTTTGTGAGACGAGCACCACAACACTTTTCTTTGATTTGGGCTACGTTTGGTACTGTTGGTGGGAAGTCCTTTTGGACTTCAAAAGTTCCAACTGCACTAAACATTACAATTTGTGAAAAATACGATAACTTCTCATAAGTTAGTATTTTGTCCATTTTATTGCAAAGCTCAGAAGTACTGAATTGTTGCTTTTGCATGAGTTTCTCATTTGGGTTTTAATGAAATTAATATATTATTCTTATTTTATCCTTATTTTTTTTTACAACACTTCTACAACAGTTTATTTCTAACAAAACTTCTATTAAAAGTTCCAGTCATACCAACGGGTACTTAGTGATGAATAAAGAGATGAGAGATCTCAAAGCTCTGTTTTGGCAGTAGTTTTGGTATGATACTATTTTGGTCTAATTTTTGAACAACCTTTAGCAGATTCATGGTGTTAATGTTATGTGGTGTTGATCTCAGGCCTAACGAGTAACGAGTGTACCGAACCTATGGGTTTTGCGGCAATGGCCCTTGATAAGAGTATGAATTATGTATGTTTCTTTATATTTGTTTACATGTGCGCGACGATTAACAAAGCTTAATATTAATTAACAGATTAAAATCAATAATATATATTAATATTTTAAAACATTATAAATAATTATTTAAAAAAATATTAAAATTTATATGTTTTTGTAAAAGCATTTGATAAATGTCAAATACCAAGAAATTTAAATGCTGTCCGTGATTCAAGGCAATATGATTCAAGCAAGGCATCAAGTTCAAAATGGGGGTCAAAGATCATCAAGTGTAACTGGTGTCTGTGATTCAAACAGGGCATTTGATTTTCAAAATCACAGCAAATCAGAATTAATTGACCATTAAAGCTTAAAATCAGTAATTTTTAACCAACAGTTATTTATATAATTATTATGTAATTAATATTCAAATTTCATATTGTAATTAATGGTTGATTGCGTTTTGCTATTGTCTTGGAGATCAATTGCAAAACGCAATCAACCATTAATTACAATATGAAATTTGAATATTAATTACATAATAATTATATAAATAACTGTTGGTTAAAAATTACTGATTTTAAGCTTTAATGGTCAATTAATTCTGATTTGCTGTGATTTTGAAAATCAAATGCCTTGCTTGAATCACAGACAGCAGTTAAACTTGATGACCTTTGACCCCCATTTAAACTCGATGCCTTGCTTGAATCATATTGCCTTGAATCATAGACAGTATTTAAACTTGAGGGAAATGATTTTTTTATACAATTTTTTTATTTTACTTTTTTATATAACCTGACGTGTCATTTAAATTATTAGTTCTTTTAATTTATATAAAATTCATGATATTGAATGCATCAACTCATTTAATCACATGTGAAAATTATATAAAAAAATAATATACAAAAATTATCTCTATAACAGCACCCTAAATTTAATGATCTTTGACATCTATCAAATGTTTTTATGGTTCTTAACAATATGATATGTAGTTATAATCACATTCTATAATACATATTATTTTTAAAATAAGAATTTGATTAGTTTTGAGGGAGAAGATTTTAAATACTTTAACAAATTAAATTATTTTATTAAACTAACAATTTAATTTGATTAATTAAAATAACGTCGCTTTCTACAAACAAAATATGGTACGTGGCGTTGCTACGTTGAGACCCCCTGCACTTTTAAGAATTGTTATGATGCTATACCTAATAATGAAAAAGTAATTGTTGTGGACGCAAGTGCTCCAATTTTGCCTGAAAAAGTAATTGTTGTGGATACTACATGATTGGAGTGATGATCTTTGTGTTAAATTGTTGAAAAATTGTTACGATGCCACACCTGACAATGGAAAAGTAATCATTGTGGATGCAATTGCCCCAAATTTACCCAAGAAAGATATTGCTTCAAGGGCCATTGCTCATAGGGACGTGTTTATTATGATTAAAAACCATGGAGGGAAGGAAAGGACACAGCATGAATTCATCGAGTTGGCAACTAGAGCCAGATTCGGTGGCATCAAATATGAATGTTTAGTGTTTAATACCTGAGTGGTCATGGAGTTTCTTAAGTAATACTTTATGTGGCGGAAACACACCCCAATTTAAAATTTTAAAAAATAATAATATGAAAGATCATATCTTTAATCTTGTTATAATATAAAAAAAGTTTAAACACAAAAAATAAAAGATTTTACACATAATTAAGTCCTAATTCTGTCAATACTCATTAGAAATTGTAATTCTAAAACATATGCAAGCTCGTCTTTGATTTTTCTTGTATCTACATATTTCTAGAAAACACATTATCACATTTAATTATGTGATTTATGTTCTATATAATAAAAATTTAGGTGAATTGATATATATTAATTATAATCTCTATCTATAATAACAAAAGAAACTAACTTTTTGATGTGTTAGGAAAAAAAATCAATGGATACCTAATTTAAGATTAAAAAAATTACAAATCATATCAGAAGTCGTTACGTGGTAAACTTGGCATGAACCAAACTAATTTAATACATTGCCCAGCCAACATTACAAAAAACATATATCCAACAAATCCAATTTATCCTCTTCTTTTTAGTTCATGATTTAATATAAAATTCAGACTGATATAATCAGATTTATTTTAAAATTATTATAAAATAAATATTTGGTAAAAATTTTTATTTAATAATTTAGGTTGGTGAGTAGTGGTTAGAGTTTAATTTGTTAATGAAATAAAAAAACTACCATAGTAACTTTTTATACGAAACTGTTAGTAAATTGAAATTTTTTAATTTTATTGATAAATTTATTCATTTTAATTATTTAGTTTTTTGTCATAATTTTTAATTAGTATTTATCTAATTAATTTCAACTTTATTTTTTCTTTTTAATAACATTAAGTGATTATTATATTTTTATTTTTTTACATTAATTTATAACAAAAAATTATGTTAGTTTGATAAATAAAATCTACTAATCAGACAAAAGGATTAAAAATTTGCTCTTTTTTTAAAAAAATTTAAAAATAATATTTTTTTGTTAAAGATAGATGTGTTATTACACTATTATAATTTTATTTATTTATTTATTTATTTTATAAAATTAATAATTTTAATAATAAAA